GGTGGTATGTGGTGAATGTAGTATTTGTGTGTGTGTGTATGTGTGTGTTTGCGTGTTCGCGCATGAGCAATTTATCAGTCGCGCTCGGTACTGTCAGTGCTAGTTAGTAATTGTGACAGTGTGAACGTCCGATGATAAATGCACGAAATAGCATTATTGATAAGAATAGATCACCCTCTGTCTCATTGGACAAACACGTGAAATCTGGCATAACATGCTACATCTTTGGGAAGTATACTATCCGTTTAGACTGGCCAGATGTACAGGAATATCCGTTTGTTGGTCGATTCTAGTCTGCTGCTATTTTTTATCTACTTTGACTTTTTGTTAGATCAACCCAGTAAGATTACACTCCGTACTGTAATTATTTTATTCACCATAGTCTTCCATTTCCATTGTCTTTAACCGCTGCCAGTCAGAATGCATGCGTGAGGCCTTCAGTGAGTTGGATATGTCCAGTGAGGTATTGGAACTCGCTTTGCTCCCCCCACCGGCGATACAACCTCGTTTGCGGCTAACCACCTATGGTCTAGCTGGTACTATGCATTTCGATTTACCGCGTACATCCGACCAAGTTGAAGTGTTTGAATCCAGTTCCGGACAGCCGAGATTAGCGCGGTATCGTCTTTCGCTACTTCGTCCCGCCACCAGTCGTGCATTGGCTATGGCCACACGGATCTCAATTCGGGTGAATGAGCGTGGTTTCTTGTCCATGCAATTCATGCTCAATTTACCGGATGGACAAGTAGCGTTTGTGGAATTCTTTGTGAGTATTGGATACTTGCTATTGTATTTATGTTGCTTAAAGCTTTGAAGCAGTGCTTGTTACGTTTTTTTCTTGGTTTATTCAATACTGTGTTAACTAGATTTGATTCGTTTCTATACATGGGGATAATTATTCTCATTTGAATCTGATTTAACTTAGGATCAAATGAATAAACGAACCACTTCCCGTGGGGAGCTTTCACCGGTCCATGTTTCATGCATTCGAGTCAAAACTGTTACGGCCGCGGTAACGCTGGCGAGCAAAGTTTTCAGAATTTTTTCAGCTATAATGTTTTCTCTCTGTAAGCGATATAATATTGCTACTGCTGCAAGAATAATTATGTGATATGGTGAATATGTGCGAACCTCATTCAAACTCCGAACTGTATGCTATGTTCTACGATTGATTGGATAGACTGCAAGTGTAATTAGTTGAAGTGATTACGCAGTTATTTATTCACCAGTGAGAAATCACCATAAAACTCAGTCCAATCTTTCGGTGTCAAGTTTCCCGTGAGTTGGAAAATGCAATTTGAAGTGGTAAACACAATATAGGTCAGTATGTCAGGACCTGAGATTATTTGAGATTAACAACTCCTTCCAAAGTTATTGTTAGGCATATTCGACAGCAACCAATTCTGGTTAAGAGGAATAAAATATCTTCATTTGGCTGACTGATCAATTTTTCGCTATCGTCCCGGTTTTGGTTAATGTCGTTTGGCTTCCTTTTTCGTCGACCACATGAAGGAATGTTTGGAACAGTCAAAAAGCTGAGAGCAACACCAGTACTCCGATGGAATATAAGGACAGGATACAGTAGATTACAATACAACACAAACTGATGAGTAGCATATGAAAAAATTAGATTTGTGTTGCCTAATTCACATCAGGAGTTGAAGTATGAGAATAACCAGGTAAGAGATCACCGGATATACATACCTGATGAGCGACAAGGACCGCGAAACCGATCCTGTACCTATGGGAAATTTTATCCCGTCATTCATCTACGAAAACACTGAAAATTGACCCTTACGTCCAGTTGACTGACGCTAGACGCATCTAATCCACAACAGTTAATACAGAATCATTGCAATATTTTGTGAGGCTTGTTCGTCTCGAATCAGTTCCCCGAACTGCGAACGAGATTTGCGTTGCCTAACAATACAACCTCTTCAATGTGGATTCTATTGTTGATTTGCGGTGAAATACTGAATAGCTCCCCCCTCCACTTAGTTTTATGCACAACACGAATGACGAAGAGAATGTTGGGTGTATTCAACGTATTTCGTAAATCATAATATGGCTGAAAGATGGAGATCTCTAATAATAATGTGATAGTTCAACGTAATATTCAATCTCCCTTTGTTTTGTTGTCGTCTAGTGGCAGCACAAAAGTAGGTCGCAAGTATCACCAAGAGACGGGACACAGTATAGAAAAACACCACTTACTTCTCTCGTCAACACAAGAAAACATATGTGGGCAGAATTGATATAGGCCATCGATTTCGCGTGCTCTCATTCAGATGTAAACGCACGTTTATATGATCATGTAAAACGAAGAAACATATGAGTTGAAATGAGTCATTTGAACAAGTTTGTGAACAAGTGAGTTGTGTGATTTGGTTTTATTTGGGGATTAAGGTCAATTTAGATGTTAAATTTTATACGGAGATGAACTGATTCAAACAGTATGGTGAAGGTGGTGTAGGGAGGAGAGGGAAGATCATGTCACACAGTATGGTAGAGTGGTATCAAATGCCACGTCACCACTACCACGGCAACAACAGTTGCATCAAAAATGTTTTTGGAACACAGTTTTGTCATAAATTTTGTCATCTAACTTGAGTTCAACACCTAGCCAAACACGAATAACGCAACTTACTTATCCAACACCTTGTTCAAATGACTCATCTCAATTCTTATGTTTCTTCGTTTTACGTGATCATATCAATATGCGTTTATAGTTGAGTGAGAGCACACAAAATTGATGGCCAATATCGAATCTGCCCACATATGTCTTCCTGTATTGATGAAATGGATAAACAGAAAAGGACGTTTTACATAAATAATAGCCTCTCTGTGTTGGAAGGACAAAACCCCATTGTAGGTTTCCCAGGCACCCTTACTTTACTCTACTTTACTGCGGCTGGCTCCTTGGAAAGGATAAGCCGTTTTCAGACGTGAGCATGATCATAAAGTTTCTTGGGAGAGAGACGTCCCCAGAGTCACCGGGCGTTTCTTTATTTTGAGGGTGCACCTTTAGCCTTCGCACAATCAAGTGCAAACTGCAAGGCCGCAGGAAGTAATCTCTTGCGTCGGAAGTGAGGGGGTCAATGACTTTAGTTTTAAAAGGCCAGTCACATTGACCTTTGTCACGACACCGTCATTGGGCTTATGCGGCTTTTAAACAGGAGCCAGGTGACTAGCCTGGTAGTGCCGCCGCTGTTTGTTCGCGACTTCTTATTTGTTGCGGTATGGCACAACTTATTCACAGCTAACATTATGTGAAAGTTTCTCCCTATCCACAACCCAGGCACGCGGCTGGTAGCCTTCAGCTGTGCTTAACCCGAGGGTATCCAGATGACGCGATAAGCCCCTGATCATCTGATGTTGTGCTCCCAGTCACAAGACATGACTAACCATACATGACGCTGACACATCTAGTGCGATACAGTTAGAGCACATTGGAATTCCGAGCTCATAATTACACCTCGGCAACTGCAAATCAGAAGCACGTTGATTAATTCATCATTGTGACAGTACAGCAGTTTCAAAATGTTTAAGTAGGTTAGGGATACACCACTCCCTATTATGCAGTTCCACAGCGCTGTTCGATCGACAAATTCAAAGGCCTCGTGGATGTTTAGGAAGATAACATTAGTCGGTCATGCGAAAGATTCGAACTTGTTCAAACAGTAAGCGGAAAGTGAAGATCTGGTCGACGCAACTACCGTTCTGGGCAAAATCCGATTTGCCTTTCACGAATCTACCGTTCACTTGCGGGACTGGATTGGTGAAGAATGGTGAATATCATGAGTTTGGATGTAACAGAGATAAGATAAATACCATGTTGATTGGGGCTGATGTTTCGGGGACTGTTATTATGATTGGGAATTGTAGTTGCCTCTCGCCGGTCTACGGGGAGGAGGATCGTCGTGGATTCAAATTCGACAGAGTAGCCTAATAAATCTCGTCGGGAACTCACTGCCAGCATCGGGACCTAGAGCCCCGCGGCGCTGAGTCATTTAGATTTATTTGGGGATTTACATGTTTCTGATGGTAGTGGTGGGGTTAACGAACACAGGATACTGAGCATTGCAAACGAACAGTAATGGTGCTGGCACAATGTACCAGTTAGATTCCGATAAAGATTTCTGGGTCTAAGGTGGTAAACGTTTTGTGAGGTTTCCCACAATCATTCCATACTCAGGTATCGGCAAAGCTGACTTATTCTTTTGTGAAGACTAGTCTGAGTTCAAACGGTCCTAATTACGTGATTTATTCCTTTTACCACACAAAAATTTAATTCAATCATAATGTGGTAGATTGGTTCTTGATCGAAAGAAGGACTAAATTCTAATGCTCCTCCGTTGTCTACAAACACAATTTTAAGGGAAACGGATTAGTTTTGAACATGATCAGTGGATTTCGTTGTTTCCGCATATTCAAGACACGCTTTTAAAACTATATTGCTTCGGAAGCAGTCGACATACTGGCCAGCTCGAGGGAAATCGGTGGATTATCGACCCGATCTAAAGACTATCTTTCTGTACCAAAAACAGTGGTTTAGGTTTGACGTGACCCTATGCAATCAGCATTCGAAGCAACTTGAATGGTTTGAGCACACTATTTTGTTCCTAACTCTAGCACATGCTATTTGTGGTGGAGGGCTATGTTTTTATCGTGATAATGTGTGTAAGCACTTAGAAGCATTCTTCTCCCGATAGAACAGAAAATTTGTGAGATGAACTGAGCTATTTCCGGAATCATTTTATCGCATGAGGCACCAGTTGGAATGCATCGAAATCATTCCAGTAACACGACGTGTAACCTAACTGTTTTGTGTCTCGCGAATGTATGAAATCAACTGTTCAACAGTTTACCCTTTTGATTCATGGTTTTGCCATCAAAGTTATGTTAGGTAACTTTACCGCTCACCAAAATTCTATTAGTTATACTTGAGAGTACTGTACCGAATTTGTGCGTACTGTACCAGTCGATTTATATAATTTTTTTTTGGAAGGAAACTCGCAGCTGATCGGTCTCGAGTTTTTGACCGACCCTCGGCCTTAATGGCCAATCTCTGCGTATTTTCGTATTGTGATGTAAGGGAATGGGGTAAAAATCACACGTTCGATTGGCATCAGAGGGCTTTTTGTGATTGTTCTACAGTCTAAAACAACAGCACATTGTGCGAGTTATCTTTTTTTAATTTAAATTTAATCACAATAATGGATTTTGATGTTCTCTTTAGTCCGTCATTATCACATCGGTTTCTGAGACGCTAAATGAATCACGTGAGTAGAACCGCCGGCAGTAAACAATTGCCTTCTGACAAAAAAGGAACAAATATGAACCCTCTGTTCAGAATCATAGCCTTGCTCGGTATTGAGAGATGGGCAACTGAGAGTACAATCAGGGATTGTGAATGACATTTACAAAAAAAAATTATTCACTTCTCTTCCTAGTCCGACGGTATGTTCCGTCGTTGACACCTTTTTGCCAGTTCGGTTTAGGCTGTGTGAGCTCGCGTATTTTGCTTTTCGATTTTCACTACTTATTGAATATGAGTAGCCCATCGTGGGCTAGTTTAGCGATAACCCTCACATTTCCGTTGATCGCAGAATCCACTCTAATTGCCGTGGGTGAAGTGGGCACCATACCGGAGGGAGAAAAGTATCTCATATCTTTTCTTGTAGTCAGAACGTTACAAACAGAATCAAATGTAGAATAATTCGGGGTGGTTTTCAGCATCTCCACTTATCAAATCCAAATCCTTTC